ACTAATAAAAAATCCAAATAAAAACAATTTTCTGAATATTTTGTATATTTAAATTTCCTCACCTGGGCGCGGCTAGTAAATATTATCCGATCGTCACCAAAATTTAAATAGAAAAGTTTTAGGTTACAAAAAAACTTTTTTTGCCCGGCGGTTTAAAATCAGAAAAAAAAATTGAATTAACAACCAGTCTAATACATAGTATACATACAATAGTAACGTTATTAAATAAATCAAATTAGTATTTAATGCAATAACATTCTACCATTTTAACAAATAAATATCAATATGAATATCAATAGATTTAGAAGCGATAACTTTTGTTGTTAATTTAAAAACAGTAAACGATTATAAACCAAGTGCTAACTACCTATTGGTATTATAGGAACTGTTATTCAGGAATACGGATTACAAAATCTCATTGCTTTAATGGCTCACCCATTCATGCTATGCTAGCGTTTCTGCGTTTTATCTGCAGATAACGTAAAAAAGAGACTATAAAGGGTGGTACGATTTAGAGTAATGCATAAACAAAATCCCTTGTAGTGGTGCTCACATGCAGAATAACAAGTTAGATTTCTAAATTGTAGACACCCTTTTTCTTTGACTATAAGCTGGTGAAGATCCCTTTTAGTACTTGTATATTGCGTATAGTTTTCCCTTGGATGTAATCTATATCATGAGTTGTAACCAGAAATAATTTTAAATTGGTTTATCATAAACTACTTTTAATTAAAGCGACGGTAAATATCCACTTTGTTGTCGAAAAATTCTATTGCGTTACCCTAAATTCCATTGCGTTAGCGTAAGGTAACATAATAGACTCGGTAACGCAGTGGAAAAAGTTTTGTGAAACCATATTTAAAAAATAATAATAAGACATTACAGTCATTAATTACTCTCAATGAGCTTTAGTGCCCTAAAATAAACATAAACATGAAAAATAGTATTTTTTCTTACCTTATTTTTATTATTTTTTTGAGTAACTTAGCGGACTTATTACATTCGCGTTACCCGCACCTGTTTCAACCGAAGTGCTCAAAATCTTCGCTGTTAACGGCAAGACAGTGGCCTAAACGATTTTCAAATACTTGTTTTACATTTTGCAGCCAAACATCTTAAACATTTTTTATTTCATCAACTATTTTTTCTCTGAGAACCTAAAGGTTGCCCGGCCTATTTTTGTACACCACTGACTTCAAATGACCACATAAAAAAATCCAATGGTGTTAGGTCTGGAGACCTAGCAGGCCACTATATTGGTCCTCGTCTACCAATCCACCTGTTCGAAAATACCTGGGATAAGTATCTACTTACCTTCAAAGTTTGATATCGTTTCAGCAGTAAGGGCATCGTACACTGAGTAAAATAATGAAGTAGACGACACCATTTGGTTCCAGAAAGACGGTGCTCCACCACATTTTGGTTTAACGGTCAATCAGAATTATGCACATCAATGGATTGGTAGAAAATGACCAATAGAATGCCCTCCCAGATCTCCAGATATGACACCATTAGACTTTTTCTTATGGATCAATTAAAATATGTGGTCTACAAAACTCTAAACTATTGTGAATGACAAATTAGAGGTTATGGATTGTTGGGTAATAAATAGTACCTAAATAATGAATGATGAGGAGTGATTAATTATAATTATGGATAATGGTGGGGTATTATATTTTACTTACTATTTTAACTTTATTTTTTCAAAATGTAAAAATATTCTTTTTCAAATATTTTGTTTAATATTTGACAAGAAGACAACAAAATTACAATACGGCAAACTAATTTATTCTTCGAGATAGCTTGGTTGGAAAGATGGACATAGAATCCTGTCCAAATTGACCACGCTTATCTGAGCCGTCGAGCACGCTCGAATAATTCTGAATGAATAATTTTCTCGCATTTGTGCCCATTTCGCCGCCAGTTTCCCCCCTTTACAACGGGGTGAAAGAATGTAGGTATGCACACGTGATTAATACGTTTTGCGGACCCTAGTGTCGGCCTGTGTCAACAACTTCTCTTCCGATGCCTGCAGGCATGGCAGCCATGGCGATGGCTCAACATAATAGTATAATAATAATATAATAATAATATTTATTCGTGTTATAAATACAAGGATTTTTACACACGTCAGGTACATAAGAAAAAGATATATATAAACTACAAAAAGAAATAGACAAAATATAGTTAAAACTAGATAAAATACAGTTAAAAATGGACAAAATAGTTACATGAGAAATGGTAGTACAATTACATGAATACATATTAAATTTCACATTAAATCAGTGCATTGCAAATATTCAATAAAATTTTAAAAAGCTCTCCCAAGGAGGTACTTTTTGATAAAAATTTTATATGATTTTAGGTTTAAGTCTCTTACATTATTTGGCAGTTTATTGTAGAATTTCAGTGCATAGTATTGAGTAGAATTTCTAGATTTATTTAATCTAAGATGATCCACCACAAGATTGTTTTTATTCCGCGTGTTATAATTGTGTACATCGCCGTGTACCTTAAAATATCTACAATTGTAGATATTTATATTTTGTTTTGCATACAAGAGGCATGCTGATGTATAGGTAACTTAAAGGAAGTGTTAAAATTAAATAAACCATTTATTAATTAATGTCATATATAGAAAAAAAATCACTAAGTCAAACTATCACAGTAAAAAGTTTTCTTTGACATGTTTAATTACAAGTTTCTTAAATATTTTAATGTTCACTAATTTTAAATCACGAATTAAAATTATACTCGACATCATTTTAATTCCAGAAATTAAAATTAAAATAAAACATCATTAAAATGGTGTATAACAATACAACATTAATGTTATTATTACGGTCATTTAAAATTATACTCTACATAATTTTAAATCACGAATTAAAATTATACTCGACATCATTTTAATTCCAGAAATTAAAATTAAAATGAAACATCATTAAAATGGTGTATACAACATTAATGCATTATTATATGAAAAACATTGCAACTTAAAATAAGTTTCAAATAAAAATTAAAACATTTGTGCACCTATTAAAAAATAATTCATTGAATTGTAATTCAATATCAACACCTTTGCAATATGGAGATATTTCTTGTAATATTTCATTTTCATACAGTTATATAATATATATAAATTTTGATGATGAATTCAACATGTGCAATGCACATTGTGCATGGCAGGTATTGTTTCAGAAAAATTGATAGAATTGTAAGAAGGTATCATAAAAATTAAACCGAATTAAACCAAAGATTTGGACAAATTAAAAATAAATTAAAAATATTTTCACAAAGTTGGCAAGCCCTTTTACTATTTAATGTATTTTAAATTAAATTTGTGTACAACTAAATTTTAAATAATCCATTATTTATCAAACATAATGGAAATTGTAACCATTTTAAATATGGTAAATTTTATATCCCTATCCCAAAAATTTTACATTAAATAGTAAAACGGCTTGCCATATAGATCTGTGTTAATTTTTGTTTTGTTTAGGAAATTGAATAATAAAGCAACATTTCTTATCAAAATTCTTTTTATTTAAGTTCCTAATTTCCAACAACTACTTTTGTTACTGGGTCTACAAAAAGGTTTGTAAAAATAAGGTCCTTTTTGAAACAAGAATTATGGTTGAATTATTAAGAGCATTTTGTTATTAAATCTACAAATGTCTGTCATAATTGCTTACTACTTATTAACAGATTACTTAACATAAAGTTATGTGGACCCGGGTTAACATAAAATCTGGTTAATAATTATAATTATTAACCAATTATAATTGGATAAAATTAACAAATTTTTGTTTAAGTACTGTGTAAATAATGTAAAAATATTTTATAATTTCTAATCTTTTGTGTTATTTATTTTTAGCTTATTTTATTTATACATAATACCTATGTTATAGATGTTGGTAATGAGCATTAAAAAACTGTTGCTACACGTATATTTTTTTCAATAAAATTTAATTTGTTTAAGAATTATACATACTGACATACAATTTAAAATGTTTACATAAGTATTTAATTTTGTATGGTCTTAATTGTTTTAATCACGGTTTTATGAATGACATTATACTTCCTAAAATTATTTTGGTAAGAAAATATTGATTGTCAGAAATTACATCCGTCAAACATGTCAATTTTAACTCGCTGTAGATACTTCTATACTACTGTATATTTTGTTTAACTATAGTTAAAAACGGTTGTTATAACAACCGTTTTTTTAATCGGATTTGAAATAAATAGATAATTTAATGATTTAATAAAAATGATAAATAAAATCTGTTAAATGGTCAACTTCCCTTTTTACCAAATTTAAATACTATTATAGTGGCCTTCTCCCAATTTAAAACCCGATTGGCTCAAATCACAGTAAACATTGAGTTCATTATTCCCGTTGTTAGGTACCTAGGGAATTTATATTTATCAATATATATGCAAAATCCCCTATATTATGCAATATTATATATTATATATTTACGTATATACAAAGAACATGTTACAAAAAGTTCAAAACATTCCTAAATCAGGTGCTTCTAAGAATTAAAAAGAAAAGTGTTAGTTATTTTGATATTAAAGTTATTAAATTAATTAAAAATTATTGATATATTTAGTAATCAATATCCGAAATATAACTAATTAGTTGGATATTTAATATTGACCATTAACCATTTTACAAAATAATTCTATATTTAATAAAATTATTGATAGTCAAAATTTTACTTATGTACTTAATATTTAATAATTAACTATAAAAAACTTACTAAATATGAACAAAATTCGTAATAGGAATCCAAAATTTTACCTAAATAATTAATTTTTATTTGTTTAAATCCTTAAATAAATAAAAGTATTACTTTTGGGTTAAAAAAAGTTGTAAATAATTATATAATTTTTTTTAAGATTAATTTTATCCACATGTAAATAGTCAACTTATATATATACCCGTAGTTTTTTATACATTAAATGCGACTTAGTTTATAGCTATAGCTGTCAAAATGTTGGTAAATGTCGCGAGTTTGTACGTTCTTCTATTACTTTTAAAAAATTCCCATTGTAATAAAGATCCTGATGTCCATGACCCCATCGTAAGTATATTTTGAGTAGAAAATTATTTTTTTATTTCTATATTTTGATAATGAAAAAAATGTGTGAACTTTTAGGAAACTATAATAAACAGATATGGATATCAAATGCAAAATATTACAGTTCAAACCGATGATGGATACATATTGCAAACTTTTAGAATTTCTCCCAATGGAACCAACATAGAAAAAATATCCGGACAACCATTGGTCATTTGGCATGCTTGTGATAGAAACGCTAGGAGCTTAGTCGCAAATGGAAAGGAATCTTTACGTAAGTTAAAAATTTAAGTACGGGTTAAACAACGTAAACCATTTAGTATTTATAGGGTAAAATCCCAATTATATTCTGTTAAAAAACAAAAATGTATTATGAAAATTAACTGGTTTTGTTGCGTCAGCGACTGCTGTCGACAATCGAAATAATATCATCTTTTACAAATATAAAAAAATGTTTTTAGAAAATATCTACCTATTTTTAGCCGAACGATATTGTAACTGCAATAAAAAATAGGGTGTTTCATTGAAGGATCAAATTATGAGGAATAATTTTGGGACTAATTTATTTTCCCCCTCGAATCTTTTAATTTAAATTTTAATTTTTTTTTGTAAAATACACGGATAGAAATGTATAGTAAATTTTAGATAGTAAAAAAATATAGTAAAATTTACTTTAACAAATTTTTAGGGGAACAATATTATATATTCGTCAATACAATATTAAGATTGTTATACAAAATACTATTTTTTATTATACAATTTTAGTAAAGATTACAACACCAATATAACTAAATCATAAATGTATAATATATATTTTAATTTTTAATATGTTTGTATAGTAAATTGATTTTACTATCTACAAATAGTAATATTTACTATATGATTTAATCAAATGTAAGGTGTACATCTAATATTATAATATATTACACATTAATAAAAAAATATAGTAAAAATAAATATACTTTTATGTTTAAGGTAAATAAACAATATATTTAAATATAATATACAATATAGTAACTCATGACAATTTAAAAATTAAATTTTCTTAGTTTCTTTAATAAACTTTCTTGACCCATTACTGGTAAAGAATTGAACCTACTTGGTTGCATAGGATGTACCGATTGCGGCAAAACCCACGTCACGACGCGTCGTTAGACGGTGTGGATCACGTAATGTTCTTACATCTCGCCTCTGTTGGCTTACCAACCATGTTATATAAGCTCTGGTATTTCTTTGTTTTGGGTGTGTTCCACTACTACAAGTTGCTCGACAGTGTCGTGTCGACACTGATGATACCCAATATAGGCCAAAACACCTGTCTGTCGGTATTTGAAGTTGATGGAACGCACTCAAAACAAAAAACTTTGGCAAGGTGTAGGGTCAATTTTTTCTTATAACATTTTTGTATATTAAAAAGTACAATAAATATGTTACAATTTTTAATTGTTAACATATAAAAATATTCGATTTTATATTTAAAATGGCAACATAATATTTTAAAATTTACTATACTTATTAGTAATGGAAAAAATCTAATTATAATAAGAATTAAAAACAAAATTGGTTAAGAATAATAATATTTTACCTTAAGGTTTAACATACATGGATATTTAAAAATTACTAAATATGCATAGTATCTGGGAATATACAAGATAGTTGTCCCAAATAGTAATATAAATAATAGTAAAGGGTATTATAATTATGGTAATCAGCATTATACTTTTCTCTCCGTGTACAGGGTGATCCCTATAATGTCGCCCACCTTTAACTTTTTTATTTTAAGTGTCCCAAAAAAATTAAAAGTGTGCTTATGTAGGTACTAAAAAATACGTATAAAGAAAATTGGAAAATTGATCAGTATACAGGGAAAAACAAAAAGTTTATTTTTTTTCAATGGATCACCCTATATATGTATTTATTTTTCGATTCCTTGTAAAATTCTAAGCATATTTCATATAACACACCATATACCTAAATTCAACCGTTTCTGAAATATTTAAATTATTTTTAAGATAATAATTTGAAATAATTTGTCTTTCTCTGGCTAAGTACGCCATTTTTACTTATTTAACAAGACATATTGACATAATATCACTATAGTAACTTATTTTCAATAAAAAATTTGGTTTACTGAGGCTTCTTGATTTCTAACAGTTTAAAAAAACATTTAATGATAACAATGGATGAAACATTTAATGATAACAATGGATCACCCTATATATGTATTTATTTTTCGATTCCTTGTAAAATTCTAAGCATATTTCATATAACACACCATATACCTAAATTCAACCGTTTCTGAAATATTTAAATTATTTTTAAGATAATAATTTGAAATAATTTGTCTTTCTCTGGCTAAGTACGCCATTTTTACTTATTTAACAAGACATATTGACATAATATCACTATAGTAACTTATTTTCAATAAAAAATTTGGTTTACTGAGGCTTCTTGATTTCTAACAGTTTAAAAAAACATTTAATGATAACATTTCGAATGCAAATATTTCAGAAACGGTTGAGTTTAGGTATATGGTTTGTTATATGAATTATGTCCAGAATTTTACAAGGAATCGAAAAATAAATTCATATATAGGGTGATCCATTGAAAAAAAATAAACTTTTTGGTTTTCCCTGTATATTGATCAATTTTTAATTTTTTTTAAAACGTAGAAAAAAAGTATTTTTTAGTACCTACCTACATAACCACACTTTCAAATTTTTTGGGACCCTTAAAATAAAAAAGTTAAAGGGGGGCGACATTATAGGGGATCACCCTGTACCTATTTACCGTGATATTTCAAAATGTCGAGTTAAAAGACCCTGTATAATGATATACCCACTAAAAAAACTTGTTTTTATGAAATGTGTATATCTTTGCAGCATTTTATTATGTCGATTCTGGTTATGATGTTTGGCTTCCAAATATTCGAGGTACGAAATATTCCAGCCATGTTAGTTTAACCCAAAAAGACGCTAAATATTGGAACTTCAGGTAATACCACAACTCGCTATTAGCGAATATTTTTCTTAACAATAAAGTTATAGTTATGGTAAAATAGGAAGGTCTGACGTTAAGGCAGTGTCAGAGATGATTGTGCAAAAAACTGGAAAAAAACTTATCACTATGGGACATTCTTTAACAACAAGTGCTTTATTTGTCTACGCCTCTGAGTTACCAGAGGAAGCTTCCAAAAACATTAAGGGTATTATTGGTTTAGCACCAGCCATCAACGTGTACTATTCTTGGGCCTTTAAGTTGCCGTCTCTTTTACCCAACACTATTAGGGTAAATATAAAATGCTTTATTATTAATTTGATGTTTTAATTCTTATTTAAGGATACATTTGGTGTATTTGGAATGCATTATATTGATACAGGATTTGCGTCAATATGCGAGTTGAAAATAGCACAGCCTCTTTGTGAATTTTTGGTTGACTTTTCTTTTGGAAAAGGTGATAACATTGATGTTGGCGTAAGAATAAAGTATAATTATATTTATAACATTGAACATACTAAAACTTATTTATAGGCAAGTTACGCAAGATTTTTCTCAAAAGAAAACAACGAACCCATAAGCAGCCAAGTATTGATCAACTATTTACAAATGATGCATAGTAAAGGAACCTTTGCTGAGTATGATTTTGGAATGTTGAGAAATCTTAAAGAGTATGGAAAACTTACACCACCAGAATTTAACATTAAAAATATAAATGTTAGAACTGATCTTGTCTGTGGCACTGATGACAAAGTAGTTTCGTGCAAAGTAAGAGGACATTTTGTTATGTATGATAATGTTTGCTAATACTTTTTTTAGGATTCAAACAACACTTATAAAATGCTTCAATCTGAAAAATCCCTCACCATGTTACCGAATAATGATAAATGCAAGGGCAGTGTGGCTCATTACGACTATTACATGAATACTGATATGAAGAATTGCATTTTTGATCCAGTGGATGAAATTTTGAAAAATTACAAAAGCTTGTAAATGTATTAAAATATGTTAAAATTCATTTATAAGACTGATAATGTAAAATAAATAGTGACAATTTGATTAACTCAGGAATAAAAGTAGTAGAATCCAAGTGTATTTTTTTAATAGAACTTAAAAAATTTTATATTTAATTACATTATATCATTTACAGTGAGCGCGTTAAAATCCCCCCTGTTAACTTTTGAACCAAAAAGAGGGTAAACAATATTGTGTTTACTACTTTTTTACGTCAGTATGAAATTTTATTGCCGAACTAGTGCTAAGAGGGCAGTATCAACTTGAAAGTTCAAATGGAAAGGGGGTGCTTGTGATACCTCATTTGAAAGGTATTTTAATTCTCTATTTAACACTTTTTTGTTTTTAAAATCCGTTTAACCATAGCTTAGTTATTAGGCGTTTTTGTCTCTTCTACTCACACGCAGAGTGTGAATTATTGCTAACCAGTTCAATAATTATGCGTTTTTTGCCAACTTTTTTGTTTTAAATAAGTACCCATACCAATATCCTGTTTTTAATAAGATACAAAATAAAATAATTAACATCTTTAGTATTACATTGTTAGTTGTTCATGCAATTTAAATTAATATCTTCGCCATCGCCCATTAGAAGAAAAAACGGAGGCTATTTTTATTTATGGTGAAATGGGGCAAAATTTGCACGAAACAGAAATGGTGTTTAATGAAAGGTACCCAGAAAACCCAATTTACGGGAAATATCTACGGGATTTGGTGGCAAAATTTCAAACAAGTGGAATTGTGGGTAGGCAGAAAGGATCGGGAAGGAAATCAATTTCCGAAGAGAAACAGGTGCAAATAGTTGGTTCGGTTGTCAATATTCCACAACAATCGACGGCCGTAGTTGCAGAGACTTGTGTTGTATCTCAAACAACTGTTAGGAAATATTTAAAGAAGAACAAATTTTATCCCTACAAGCTTCAAATACTGCAATTTTGTGAACTTATGTGTGAGCGCATAGCACAAAATCCACTCTACATAAGTTCAATTTGCTTTAGTGATGAATCCACTTTTTTTCTAAATGGTACTGTTAATAGACAAAATGTACGCTACTGGTCAGATGTTAATCCACATTTTTTTCGAGAAGGTCACACCCAGTATCCGCAAAAAGTTAATGTATGGACGGGAATACTGGGAAACCACATCGTAGGCCCCATCTTTGTGGAACAAAATTTGACAGGTATTCGGTATCCTAACATGCTTCAAACCCCAATTCAACCAATGATTGAGGAAATAATCAATACCTATCCTGATGAATTTGACAGAGAAGTCATATATTTAAAATCGAAGGTCTACATTACAGAACCGAAAACCATAGATGATCTTAAACACCGGATTGGACGTGAATGAGTATTACGCAAGAAACTTTTGCAAATGTTAGAATTGAATTTGAAGATAGGCTATTTGTGTGTCAAGCTGTTCAAAGGGAACATTTCGAACATCTAATTTAAAATTTTCTTAATAAATTAAAACCAAAATAAAACGTGTTTTTAAAAATTTTAAACCTTAATAACTAAGCTATGGTTAAACGGATTTTAAAAACAAAAACAGTGTTATATAGAGAATTAAAATACCTTTTAAATGAGGTATCACAAGCACCCCCTTTCCATTTGAAATTTTCAAGTTGATACTGCCCTCTTGGCACTTGTTAGGCAAAAAATTTCATTTTGACGTCAAAAAGTAGTAAACACAATATAGTTTAACTTGGTTTTTGTCCGACATCGATATCTTATTTGGTTTAAAAGTTAACAGGGGGGGGGATTTTAACACGCTCATAAATATATGAATTTACTCCAGGTTCAAATCAAACGGGTAAGAGAGTGGATGTGTCGTTCGAGGGCTCTTAGTTCCTATCCACAATACAATTCTTAAAGAAACATAAATATTATAAACAGTGTAGTCGAGTAAAGTGCGGTGCGAAACAGTGCTACTATTTTGGGTTACTACTAGGGGTGTCAATCCCGGGATCCCGAAATCCCGGGGTCCCGGGATCCCGTAAAAAATCCGATCCCGAAAATCCCGGGATTAAAAGTCCCAATCCCGGGATCTTAGTAATAAGTTACAAAGAATAAAATAGACTTTTTTTAAGCGTATGACATTTTTCATTATAATCATGGAGCCTACACAAGGAGTCCGAACTGCATGTAAACAAGAATCTTCCTAAGGAAAGTAGGCGCTTATGTACCTTTTAATCTGAAACAATTGACTAATTTGTACCGAAACGCTACCAAAAGAGCAGACGTCAGGACGCATCAACAATCAGCGCCGCTGGTGGTGAAAAAAGAAGACTTAATTTGTGCAATTTAGAGGGCAGGTTTTGTCAATTTTCCCTATTAAGTTCGGGCTCCTTGTGTAGGCTCCATGATTATAATACTCATAAGCATATATATTAGGGTGTTTCAAAAAAATCAACTTTTTCTTTTTCTTCAAATGGTCAGCAAATTCTTTCAGAGGATGTCAAAACAAAGACCTCGTTAAAATTTGAGCTTTTAATTTTAAGATTTAGAGGTCGCGGATCGCAATTTTCTATTTCCCATTTAAATAACATAGGGAATTTTTTTTTATCTTTGGAATTTTATACGTCTATGTATATCGAATCAACTTATGACAAGGAACATCTTAGATTTTTATAGTAAATTTAACGCTCTATAAAGAATGTCTCTTATAATTTTTCTATAAATTGATTTCTTCCAGAGTTATTCGAGGCCAAAGTTTGATTTCCATCGAATTTTCTCGTTTTTTCAACTTTTAGCATCATGTAGTAAAAAAATCACATGTTTATATCTGAAAGATAGGAAGTGTTGTAAAAAAACAAAAAAACGTCACTTTTTTCCAAAGCCTACTACAAATTTTTAATGAAAATATGAGATGTGTATAATATGCAGAGTAATTTATATATAAATGCATTTTTCTCGAAAATGGTTCCTTTAGGGAGCATTTTTTGATACATGTTTATTAAACAAAAAAAGTGTTATTTTTATACAAATGCACTGTTTAAGTTTGGCCCCCTAATTTCGGGACACCCGTATAATGATAATTGTACCAAAAATGTTAAAAAAACGCGAAAATTCGATGGAAATCAAACTTTGGCCTCGAATAACTTTGGAAGAAATCAATTTATAGAAAAATGATAGGAGACCTTTTTTGTAGAGCCTTAAATTTACTATGAAAATCTAAGATGATCCTTGACATAAGTTGATTCGATTCAGACGTATCAAATTTCAAAGTTAAAAAAAAAATTCCCATGTTATTTAAATGGGAAATAGAAAATTTCGATCCGAGACCTCTAAATCTTCAAATTAAAAGCTCAAATTTTGACGAGGTCTTTGTGTTGACATCCTCTGAAAGAATTTGCCGACCATTTGAAGAAAAAGAAAAAGTCGATTTTTTTGAAACACCCTAATATATATATATATAAATATAAACACTTCATTTTTTTACTCAGTTCAAGTCAAATTATTATACACCGCCGTTCAATAATGAAAATACATTGAAATTAAATTTATGTACATAACCTATAATATAACATTTCAAACGTCAAACCTGAAAAAATGGCACAAACTTTAATGTAAGTTACAGCCCCAATTGGAACTCACCAAGGCCCGATTGATAAAAGAAATGGAATTATTTGTTAATGGTAAACGTGGGTACAATGTGCCTACGAATTCTTGAAAACTACCTTTGGTCCCGAAAGGCCCGGGATTGGAAAATGGTCTCGGGATTGACACCCCTAGTTACTACATACCTGTTCAGGTGAAATCAGGGTACCTGTTCTCCAAAGGGTTAATAGAAACATTAAAAAATTCCTCAAAAGGCAATCTCTCAATGGTGAACACAGGGGTGAGGTCCGTGCGGACACGGAAGTAATAAAGTGACAGGGGACAGGTCAAGGAATCATCTATTTAAAGAAAAAACGAGTCTAACCAAGAGTGGAAGGGATTATCACCTGCAGATTCTGATAAGTATCATTGCATGACCTAATACGCAAATCTGTAACAAAAACCTGTCAACAATAATCATTACCGATAACAGCGTAGAAGTGTAAAAAAAACCAAATCAAGTAAGAACGTCACAATATTATATTATTGTATTTTAATTATATAATATACGCATAAACTTACAGCCCAGCCACAAATTAAAGCTTTAAAAGATAACGAAAGTAAATAAACAGTCTCTAATAACCCACGTTAAAATCTATCGTAAACAAACTATCTATTAAAGCATACGTTACACGCCTGCCACTAGGGCCGTACTTCAAATTTTAATACGATACACCGGGTCGGCTTTATCTATTTTGCATATTAATATTTATATTTTTTAAATTAAATTTGGAAAAAAGTAAGAATGCAAAGATATAAATTAATAAAACTTATAATCTGGCATTTGTCAACATTTAAATACAAACAATTCTGCTGACACCAGGTATCCAATTTTACCAATTGCTCCTGAATAAAGTTACAATTTTCCTGGGTTGCTACCCAAACAACACAGTACGTTTTAAAAATGTACATTTTTGGTTATATTTACGTACTTACGTCTTAAGATCAAAAAAATTTGTATTATGTACATAAAATGTAAGGTTCAGTCGTCCTCAGTACGTACATAGTATGTACAAAGAAGGTATGTACAAAATACTTCTAAAGTATTCCTGGTTGCATAGTGTGCACCGATCGCGGCAAAGGCGGTGTGGATCACGTGATGTTCTTAAATCTCGCCTCTGTTGACTTACATGAAGAGTATATAGGCTGAGATAGTCCTTTACTTTGGTATGACAATACAAGTTGTTTGATACTAGAGACCTTAAATAGGTGGAAACAGCTGTCAATTCTTGAATAATTTCAAGTAGGTGAACGCACTATAAACATTTCCTCTAGAGAGCTGAAGGTTTAATATTCTGGAATAATACCACTGGTAGTGTACTAGTAATGCGTCAAGGAATTTCATGTTTCTTGAAAAATATAAAAAAAGGTTTAAAAATAG